GCGGGGCCGAGCAGCCTCTGCCGCTGCGGCCCATCGGGGCCGCTCCGGGCCGTCGAGAGCCGGAAGACAGAAGGGAGACGTGGCATCTTTCACTCCACCTCTGGAGGGTCCAGCTTGACGTTGAGAAATGGAAGAGTAAAAGGCACTTGGAAAGCCGGGGGAGGGCCCGGCGGGCGGGGGCGCAGGGCCCGAGGGCGGTAATGGCAACTCGGAGAGGGCATTACCGACAAGACTTCCTCCTAATTCATCTTCCACGCTCCGTGCCAGAACTGCATTTGGCCTGGTTCGCAGGGAGCGGCTGTGTGATAATGAACCCGAAGGTGTCCCTTAATTGAAGACTGAGCATTGCGGTTGGTGCCAAGAGTCGTAAATGGCGCGGGCTGGCGGGAGGATGCATCTTCTTAAATGTATCGGTAAGTACAGATGAGCGCGTGTCCCCAGTGAAATGCCCGTACTATGAATTATGGAGATCTCTCTCTCTCTGATGCAGCCTTTGACTGGGGGGAGGCGGCGCGGCCCAGCAGGAGGCAGGGGCAAGTTTGCAAGCCTATGAAATTTGGCCTCATTAACATGGCGCCCGAGGAGGACGATTTTCATCAGCAGTCTGGTGTCCTGGAAGGCTAAAGTGCTTGAAATGTACCAAGTGCAGCGGTTGGGTTCCATTAAGAAAGCTGCGCGGTCATCGCGGAGCGGGCGGACGGCCTGCGGGGGCGGGGGGCGGTGCCCAGCCTGTCTTCGAACACGTGCCCGCCGCCGCCACACGGGCACCCTGGGCTCTGTTTTCATCAAGGTCCCCGACGAGCTGATCCCGGCCCCACCCGGAAGTTGGGCTGGCGGAGGGGAGGTTCGCCACTCAATGTGTGTCCATCAGTACCCTTGGCCTCTCATCACACAGGGGGCGGAGGTTCGAGCACGGTGGCTCCCACCTGTAATCCCAGCACTTTGGGAGCCCAAGGCGGGAGGATGGCTTGAGCCAGGAGTTCAAGACCAGCCTGGGCAACGCGGCGAGACCTCACCTCTACAAAAATAAAGCAATTAGCCAGGCATGGAGGTGCGCACCTGTAGTCCCAGCTGCTCAGGAGGCTGAGGCTGAAGGATCCGCTGTGCCCATCAGGTTGAGACTGTGGTGGACAGTGATTGTGCCACTAACACTCCAGCCTGGGTGAAGGAGTGAGACCCCGACTCCAAAAGGCAGCGTTGTTCCAGGGTCCCTTGTGATATCCTACAACCCCCACGGCAGGGTTGGCTGGGGGACAGGGGCTGGTCTGAGAGGAGGTGGGACCCAGGGAGCCGCAGCTTCTGGCTGGCTACAGCCCCACTGACTCCGGGGCCCCACTGCCGGTCCACTGGGGCCCAGCTGGGGTTTTTTAAGGCGGGCTGGAGCTCATGTGCCTGGTAGATGCTTTGAGATTAATGGCCAGAAAGTGGCTTCACACTCAGTTCCACAAGGGGCTAGAGGCCCTGGGTCTGTGTCTTGTATGGGGTGGAAGGGTGAGGACAGCCCTCTTGACTCCCGGAACAGTGGACATCTCAGCTGTCCTTTGTCCTGAGGGCTGTTCTGTAGCACTGCCAAGGGGGTTCGGGCCCTTTTCAGACACCTCCTTCATGACGGACTCCGCCTCCTGGGAGGTAGACGGGACACTTCTCCCCGTTTTACAGATGAAGGCTCAGAGTCAGAGGCTGTAGCCTGTCCTCAGTCACACGAGTATGGAAGGGTCAGCTCTGTACCAAGTTCTTTTTTTTTTTTAAGTAGAGACAGAGTCCACTATGTTGCCCAGGCTGGTCTCGAGCTCCTGGCCTCAAGCAATCCACCCGCCTCAGTCTAAAATAGTGGGATTACAGGCATAAGTCACCACGCCCAGCCTCTGTGTGATGTTCTATGCTGCACTGGGGGTCTGTGCAGTCGCCAATGAGTGAGGTAGTTGACAGGATTGGGAGCTGGTCTTAAAAGCTGATGTTGGGCCGGGCTCGGTGGCTCAGGCTGTCATCACGCGCTTTGGGAGGCCGAGGTGAGTGGATTGCCTGATCCCACAGGTTCGAGACCCGACTGGGCAACTTGGTGAGACCTCATCTCTATAATAAATCAAAAAATTAGCCGGGCGTGGTAGCGCGCATCTGTAGTTCCGGCTACTCGGAAGGCTGAGGCGGAAGGGTCGCCAGAGCCCAGCAGGTCGAGGCTGCGGTGGCCCGGAGCGGCCACTGCACTCCAGTCTGGTCGATAGAGTGAGACTCCAACTCAAAAAAAAAAAGAGAAAAGTATTAGTGTGTGTGGTCAGACTGGGAAGGGATTTGTGAGGGGAAAGGACAGTGTGCGTAGTTTTCAGGTTTCCAAGTTAGGTGACGAGGTGGGTGATAAAGCCACCACCTGAGTGAGAATACCGGCTCAGGAAAGAGAGCAGGAGTAAAGAAGAGAAAGGGTGAGCGTTTTGGAATACTATGTAGAGATAGAAGCATCTCATATAAATTGGCTAATGAGGTTGCAGATCTAGACTCTAGAAAGTAATGAGATTATTAAAGCATCATCATCATAAAAGTCCCAAGACTGAAAGTGAAGTCTTAGGAAAGAATATGTATGTAGTTAGGAGACATGTGGATCAAGCAGGGAACCCTAGGTATTACCATCGTTGGAGGAGGACAGCAAAGGAAGAGAAGCCTCCACAGAAGAAAAAAGCCAGAAAAATAAAGACAAGGTTGTGTCACAAGGCGAGTAGAACTTCTGAAAAGGGCTTATTTGTTGCAGCAGAAATTCTCTAAGTGTTGGAGAATGTCGGTTGCATTTCTTCCCCCCCCATACATACGGAAACAATAACTGCATTTCTTGATTAGACCCTTGCCTGAGTGTAATTCCATCATAGGGACCAAAGAAGCAGCCATATTACATTGGGTTATAGGGTAAATGGGAAGTTATGACATGCAATCAGGGGAGTAGATCACTCAACTTTTGATAAGAAGTAGAGAAGAGGGAGGTGTTACTGTAGCTAAGTGGGTGGTAGCATGGATTGTGGGATTCTGTGACCTGTTTACTTTGTAAAATGTTTTGATAATAAAATTGGAAATCTCAAGCCTCTTGTAGAGGCTTCTAAGAAAATAGACATCTGAAGTTTTGTAATACTTATTGAATGCCCCTTTGCTACCTTATTATTATTGAGAATATACTTCTGGGATTTTGTTGGAATTTTTGTGAAACTATTGTTTAAAAACACATGAGTAAACCCAGCATGGTAGCTCACACCTTTAGTCCCAGCTATTGGGAAGGCTGAGGCAGGAGGATCGTTTGAACCCAAGAGTTTGACTCTAGTCTGGGCAATATAACAAGACCTCATCTCTAAAATAAATAAATAAATAAACATGTGATTGACCTTTTTTTTTCTCCTTCCCTTAGTTATTTTCATCTGTCACTTTTGAAATAGTAGAAGAAAGTAAGGTAAGACCAATAATTAAACCACCAGATTCTAAAAAATATGAAAACCTGATATTTAGTCTAGATTTTTGCATAAGTGGGAAGGGCTATCAATGGATATTTATTGTCATAGGATAAGGAATTTCACCCTAGAGACACTCTGGGGCAAATAGTAAACATAAAAATTCTTGGTAACTATCAGTATAACTCCACTGGCCAGATGTGGTGGCTCATGCCTGTAATCCCAGCACTTTGGGAAGCCGAGGTGGGCAGATTGCTTTAGCCTAGGAGTTTGAGACCAGCCTGGGAAACATAGTAAGACCTCAACTCTACTAAACACACACACACACAAAACTCACTCCATTATACTCCTATATTTGTGAAAATTCATTGTGAATTTGCCTCCAACTAAGATATTGAAATACTTTGTTGCAGCATCTGTAAATTATATTAAAAGTGGCTTTGAGTTTATTGAATGTCGTTCCAGGCCCCCAGAACCCGGGCAGTGAGGAATGTGAGGAGGCATGCTTGTTCTTCCATCATCAAGATGTGTCGTGACTACCCCCAGCTTGTGCTGGTAAGCTACTGGACCCTTGCTGGGTAACCACGAAGGCCTGCTAAGTTTGGTTATATTTCTTTGTAAATCTATCCCTCATCCTATTTCACATAAGGGGAAAACTAGGAACTGTAGCTTTGTATAGAATGAGCATTCTTGAAGGTGAGTTCTTCCTCCCTCTTCTTAGTAATGTAGTCAGAAATGTATATTCTCTTCTCGAAATATGAATAGTTTTTTGTTTGGGGGGTTTTTTTTTGGGTTTTGGTTTTTGTTTTTGAGTCGGTGTCTTACTCTGTCACCCAGTCCAAAGTGCAGTGGCCTGATCTTGGCTACCACAACCTTGACTTGCTGGGCTCAGGCAATCCTTCTACCTCAGGCTTCCAAGGAGCTGGGACTACAGGCATACACCACCACACCCAGTTAATTTCTTGTAGAGAGAGGCCTTACCATGTTACCCAGGCTGGTCTCAAACCCTTGGTCTCAGGCAATCCTCTTACCTCTGTCTCCCAAAGTTCTGGGATTACAGGCATGAGCCACTGCACTTGGCTATAAATAGTTTTTATCCATATGGATTACTAAATTTATCCCTGTAAATGTACAACTCAACTCTTTACTATGTGATGTTCTTAATTTCTATTGTCAAACAACGTGCCTAATCTTGAGAAACCATATGCAAATCACAACCCTTTTTGGAGGGTTTACTAAAGAAATTTGGCATTACTCCAAATTACAGATTATCCAGAACTTTTTCCTCTGAATGCACAGGAGTTGTCTCCCGGTGTAAATAACAAACGCATCTTTGTCTGTGAAGATACTGTAAAGTTGATGTAGAAAAAAGACAAATCGTTTTCACAGTTGTTAGTATGGAAAAGTGCAGTGATCCAAATACTCAAGACAAGGACTCCTTTCTGCCTAAACTGCCTTGCTTATTCAGGCAAAAGAAGAACATTATAACAAAATTACTAAACAATAACCTTATTAAGTTAACTAAGTGATGACCTTCCTGAGACTGCCTTGTTTCTCTTTCTTCTTAAGTAACTCAACTCTCCATAAAAGCAGACCTTCACCACCTTCACTACCTCTGACTTTTTTTCTTTGTGATCTACAGCCTAACTTTGACATGCTTTATAACCATGTGAAGCAGCTTCTCTCCAATGAGCTACTCCTGACACAGATGGAGAAGTGTGCCCTCATGGAAGCCCTGGTTCTCATTAGCAACCAGTTCAAGAACTACGAGCGTCAGAAGGTGTTCCTGGAGGAGCTCATGGCACCAGTGGCCAACATCTGGCTTTCTGAAGACATACACAGGTAGAGGAGAGCCTTTGTTCTTGACTGCACTTGAGCACCCATTCTGCTTTAAGAAGTGTGCCCAGTGTGGGCATGGGGCTAAGGATATTGAGGTATTTTGGCACTATCAGTGATATCTGAAGTTCTCTAAAAGCGGTTTTTTGTCATCGAATCTCTGAAAATATCACCTTGCTGTACAGAAGTATGGGGGAGGGGATAGGAAATGAGGAAAAATAGATCGTAGGGTTGTGAGGGCACAGAGTGAGACTCCTGTGGTGTCAGCATTGTGGCCCCAACACACTTAGAGAAAGGAGAACAGCTAGGAAGGGCCATGCAAAGTAGCAGCCACACAGATGCTCATCTGTGGCCATGTAGTAGAGAAATTGTTTTCTTCTTATTATTCTCAAGCATGTATCTTTTTTTAATTCTTAAAGTGTTGTTATTAACATTTGGGAGTGGAAGAGGAAGTTTAAGCCTTCAAATGTCTACTGACAGTTAAGATTATTAAACTCTTCTCTCTATAAAAACTGTTCTTCAGGGCCAAATAATCATAGCCTGATAGCTCCTATGGAAGAAACTGTCCTTGCTTAAAATCACAGTATAACTTGTCTTTCCCCCTCCAATCTTCAGAGTGCTGTCAGATGTTGATGCTTTTATTGCCTATGTCGGTGCAGATCAGAAGAGCTGTGACCCAGGCCTGGAAGATCCCTGTGGCTTAAACCGTGCACGCGTAAGATTTTCTTGGGAATGGGAAGTTGCATTGGCCATGGGGTAGGAATAGGATGTTGTCTTTGAACAAATTCTCATAGATTTGCTTTTTTCTATACTGATGAGAAACTGGGAGTCTCCACTTCCCTAAGTTTCTCCTTTCTTTTCTTCTTTAGTCTTGAATTCTTGAGTTAGTTCCCACAGCAGAGCAGATGGTCTTTTCTATGAAGTCATTATTTTGGCTTTAAGGATCTCTAAATAGCTCTGAAGACTGAAGGTGTAATGAGGAAGTAGGTCAGAACTTGGTCAGCAGGGTGAGTCCTCCCTGCCATTGCTCTCTGGCATGTAACGTCCTAAGTGATGGCCAAACTTGGAAACCTGAGGTTTTTCAGTGCTCTGCTATTCAAATAAGCATCATTTCTAGCTCCATTATGGCAAAAATCATATTAATTAATTTGGCAAGTAGCAGGTTGGTCGAGAGTGCCATGAGAGGGGATTAAGGCACTAGCTGTCATGGCCCATGCTGGAGGATGAAGCGTCAACTCAAACAAGATGAAATGGTGGCAATTTAAGCACTTTGCTTTGAAGCATATCTTAGCTACCTCCTAGTTAGGGTCCTGTCAGTGGGTAATTGCAGTCCCTAGAAAGACATCCTCATGAAAGGGAAGTTTCCAGAGCCTGCCACTGGTCCTGAAAATGGCAGTGAGAGGATCCCTCTTAGACTTGACCTTAAAGGAAGGGATAAGGATCCCACAGGGGTTGGGGTGGGGAGCAGAGGGTCTTTTCATTCTCTCTAGCCTCTGCATCTCTTTTGCCATAGTCTTGAATATATCTAGCAGTACTTGTGTCTTTTCTTCCCTTTTATGTTTACCTGTCATTCTTGTTTCTCTATAGATGAGCTTTTGTGTGTATAGCATTCTGGGTGTTGTGAAACGAACTTGCTGGCCCACCGACCTAGAAGAGGCCAAAGCTGGGGGATTTGTGGTGGGTTATACTCCCAGTGGAAATCCAATCTTCCGGAACCCCTGCACAGAGCAAATTCTAAAACTTCTTGACAATTTGCTTGCCCTTATACGGTGAGTCATAATAGTGGGTTTTCTCTGATGTTTTTTACATTAAGAGTTTTTAAAAATCTGTTTATACGTCTTCATGTCCTAGTGGTGGTAATGAGGGATGAAGTCTTGCTTTTTTCTGGCGGGGGTCTCTTTTTAAAAAAAATAGCATCAGCTCTTACTTGCATAATTCTTGCATTCCATGTGAGCCCATGGAGGCCAGTCCCCAAATGACTTTTCTCATTTTGAGCCTCCTCTGTGTTCTTTTCCCATTTATATGTCCTCACTACTTTTACTTTTACACTTTTGTTGTAAAGGAATTGTTCACTAGGAGCAAAACAGTTACTTTCTATAGTGGTGCTTCTCTGGGTAATATCCATATGGGTTAATCTGAATTTATCAGTATTGACTCTGAGTTCAAATGGACCAAACATCCACTGGCCTCTGCATCCCTTTTACCATAGTCTTGAATATATTTAGCAGTATTTGTGTCTTTTCTTCCCTTTTATGTTTACCTGTCATTCTTGTTTCTCTATAGATGAGCTTTTGTGTGTATAGCATTCTGGGTGTCGTGAAACGAACTTGCTGGCCCACTGACCTAGAAGAGGTCAGTGGAAAGTATGGTACATTATTCATCTGAGTTTGCTAGAACTTTGGTTCTCAAAGCCAAGTCCAAAGACCAGTAGAATCAGCAATCACCTGAGAACTTGTTTGAAATGCAGAATTGGGGTTCCATCCCAGACACATTAAATCAGATTCTGCATTTTTAAGAAGATCCCCAGGCAGCTTATATGCACACTGATGATTCAGAATCACTGTTGTAGATTACATGAGTTAATAAGTGGAAGTAGGTCAGTATAGGCTCATTGGTTGCTAGATGTATGTTTGATAGCATGGGGATGCTCTCTAAAGAGAAAAACAGGTTTTTGATAGAATTTCATTCTTATTGGCCAAAGCACTCTCTCCCACCCTTTTTTTAAAATTTGGGTTAGAGTCTCTCTGTCACTCAGTGACACAATCACTGCTACTACAATCTAGACCTCCTGGGTGCAAGTGAGCCTTCCATCTCAGCCTTCCAAGTAGCTGGAACCATAGGCACATGCCACCAAACCCAGCTAATTTTTTGGATTTATCATAGAGACAAAGTCTCACCAAACTGCTCAGGCTGGTCTTGAATCCCTGGGCTTAGGCAGTCCTCTTGCCTCCACCTCCCACAGTGTTGGATTTACAGGCATGAGCCACTGTACCTGGCTATGAGTGTTTTTTGTATCTCACAGGATTTCTAATTACAGGTTAGAGCTTTGTTCCAGTGCATTTTGGCCTCTTTTCCTGGGAGTAAGAACAGTTTTAACTAGGGAAACTCATGTCTCAGGGAAACTCCTGGGAATAGACACCCACGACCCACAGCCTAAGGTTTTAAGTTAATAGTGACCAAATTGGAAGGCTAGAGTGTCTGATAGAGTTGTCATTGTGGACATGTCTGTGGAAGTAGATATTTTGTTGTGATTTCAAAAGAAGGAAAGAAGTCTCAGTAAGAAAGTATGACTTATGTTGAGAGGATAGTAAAATATTTAGACAAAGAAAGGCTTGTTTCCAGACTGTTTTTAAAACCAACATGTTCTTTTGCAGCTAGAGACATGTGAGAGTGAAGGAAGTTATAGGTTAAAATATGCATCGACTAAGCCTTTTTAGGCTTAGTGGCCAGAATCAGTGTGATAAGAACCCAGATCTTGAAACAAGGTTCATTCCTGGTTAGGTAAGGAGGCCTCAAAACAGCATATGGTCGTTATCTTGATATTTTTCTAAGAGTTCAGTGCTTTTAGAAAATTCCAAGCCGGGCTTGGTGGCTCAGCCTGTAATCCCACACCTTGGGAGGCTGAGGTGAGTGGATTGCCTGAGCCCACGGGTTCGAGACCCACCTGGGCAACTTGGAGAGACCTTATGTCTACAATAAATCAAAAATTAGCCAGGCGTGGTAGTGTGCGCCTGTAGTTCCAGCTACTTGGAGGATCTCCGGAGCCCAGCAGGTCAAGGCTGCGGTGGCTGGGAGCGGCCACTGCACTCCAGTCTGGGAAACAGAGTGAGACTCCAACTCAAAAAAAAAGAAAATCCCAAAATCAATCAAAAGGTATTTGAAAAATGTTGACTGAAGCTATTAGAGTTTTTCAGGGGTTGTTTTAGTAAATTTTTTTCATTATGTATGAATAGTCTAAATTTTTTAGTAAGTTTTATCTTTAAGTATAACATACATACACAAAAGGGCACAGATTACGAGTGTTTGAAGATGAATTTTCACAAAGTGGACACATCCATTTAGTTGGCACCCAGATCAAGAAGCAGTCTTACCCAGCACCGCTTTTCAGTCATCACCTCAAGGGTAACAACTTTTTTTGCCTGTTTTTTTTGTTTGTTTGTTTTTTTCAAGGCAGGTCTTGAACCCGCGGGCTCAGGCAATCCACTCACCTCAGCCTCGCAAAGTACTGGGATTACAGGCTGAGCCACCGAGCCCGGCCTTTGCCTGGCTTTTAAAAATTTTATCTAAATGAAATTAAAAGTATGTACTTTTTGGTGCTCAGTATTTTGTTTGTGAGATTCATCGTTTCATCCATGTTGTTGCATGTAGTTAGGGTTTGTTCATTCTCATTACTTGTGTGATATTCCACTGTGTGAATATGCTATAATTTGTCCATTCAGTATGATGACCTTTTGAGTCCAGCAGGTTGAGACTGCAGTGAGCCATGATCATGCCACTGTACTCTAGCCTAGGCAACAGAGTGAGACCCATGAAAAGAAAGGGGCCAGGTGCAGTGGCTCAATGCTGTAATCCCAGCACTTTGAGAGGCTGAGGTGAGAGGACTGCCTGAGCCCACGGGTTCGAGCCCAGCCTGGGCAACATGATGAGACCTCATCTCTACAATAAATCAAAAAATTAGCACATGCCTGTAGTTCCGGCTACTTGGAAGACAGAGGCAGAAGGATCACTGGAGCCCAGCAAGGTCAACACTGGGGTGGCTGTGAGCGTGCACACTACACTCTAGCCTGGGTGACAGAGTGAGACTCCAACTCAAAAAAAAAAAAAAAAAAAAGGTTAATTTTATGTTATGTGAATTATAGCTCAATAAAAAAAATCTTTAAATAATAATAAAAGTGGTTCTTTGAAAATACCGATAACATTAGTAAATTTAAAAACTTAAGGAAAAAAATGGATTAACTTCCAGGGAGAATACAATTTATCCTAATTCAAAAAAAGAAAAAACCTAAAGAGATTTAAACTTCATATTTATTATACTGGTAGTTAAATAACTAAATTAGACCCAAAAAACTTCAGGTCTTGATGATTTTACATATGAATTCTGCCAGAACTTCAAGGATCAGATACTTTATTTCTTAGACAGACTGTTCCAGAAAAATAGAAAAATACAGTGCTCCACAACTCATTTTATGAGGCTTACCTTATTTACCTTGATGCTAAAAACCAGACATTGACCATACCAAAGAGGAAAACTGTAGTCCTATAACACTTGCAAACGTAGAGGTAAACATTCCAAATAAAAAACTAGCAATATGAATCTACTAATAAGTCTTTTAATATGGCCACATTTATATTGTTATTTCTTAAAATATTACCAGTAATTATTTAATATCATTAATATTTAATCAGTGTTCAAATACCCCCAAAATATCTTACTTTTTTGTTTGACTCAGGATCCACACAAGGTTTATACATAATATTTGATTGAGATATCTTTTTTTTTTTTTGAGTTGAGTCTCACTCTCTCACCCAGGTTGGAGTGCAGTGAGGGGCTCACAGCCACTGCAACCTCGACCTGCTGGGCTTAGGCAATCCTTCCACCTCAGTCTTCCAAGTAGCTGGAACTACAGACATGTGCTACCATGCCCAGCTAACTTTTTGATTTATTGTAGAGATGGGGGTCTCACCAAGTTGCCCAGGCCGGTCCTTGGCCTCCCAAAGTGCTGGGATTATAGGCATGAGCCACTGTGCCAGACCGAGATATCTTTTAAGTCTACATTTTAAGTCCCTACCTTCTTTTTTATTTATTTGTTGAAAAAAAACTGGGTTTGTACTTGTAGAGTTTCAACTTCTAGAGTTGAAATTTGCTTATTGTGTTTCTGTAGCATTGTTTGACTACTTCTCTTTGTATTATGGTTTACTTTTCTATTTTTTTTTTTTTTTGAGTCAGAGTGTCACTCTGTTGCCCACGCTGGAGTGCAAGTGGCATGCTGTCACAGCGACCGCAGCCTCGACCTGCTTGGCTCAGGCAACCCTTCTGCCTCAGCCTTCCAAGTAGCTGGAACTACAGGCGCAAGCCACCATGCCCAGCTGATTTTTTGATTTATTGTAGAGAGGAGGTCTCGCCAAGTTGCCCAGGCTAGTCTTGAATCTCTGGGCTCAGGCAACCCTCTCGCCTCAGCCTCCCAAAGTGCTGGGATTATAGGCATGAGCCATCGTGCCTGGCCTCTTTCTGTTTCTTATAAGTAAATAATTAGGTCTAGAGGAAGAAGGGTTGGCATTCTCTATAGCTTGAGGACCAAATCCAAGTCTCCACATGTTTTGTAAGTAAATTTTCATTAGAACACTCCGTACCCTTTTATGGAACTTAATCTGCTGGTGTGCTTCAGTGGCAAAACTGAATAGACAAGGACAGAGACCATATAGCTGGCCAAGCTTAAAATATTTATTATATGACCCTGGTCTAGAAAATTGATCTGATACCAGTTCAGTTTTTTAGCAGAAATCCTTCATAGGTGATGATGAGTTCAGCACAATAGTAAAAGTGCCTAGAAAGACTAAAGTATGTGAGACAGATTAATTTATGGCAGAAGTAATACCAATCAGAGAGGAAAAGATATTCAGTATATGATGCAGGATCAGCTGGCTTTCCATGGAGAAAAAAGGTTCCTAACTGTCACCATACATGAAAAAAAATTAATTTAAATAATATAATTTAAATAAATTTAATTTTCTTTGTAGGTAACATCACACTGATACCCAAATTGGATAAACATTCGTAACTTTAATTTAAAATAATTTAAATAAAAATAAATATATTAAAACCCAAAAAGTGAAACTTCTAGGCCACATTTATAGCATTAGGATAGTGAATGACTTTTTTTTTTTTGACTTAAAACAACAAATTTATTATCTTACAGTTCTAGAGGTTGGCAGTCTGCAATCAAGGTGTTAGTAGGATCAGGCTTTTTTTTTTTCATCTTTAAATTTTTTATTTTAAAATTGTGGGGTACAATTCAAGGTTAGGTATACAAATATTCATTGTGCGGGGACCCTTGTTGATGAGGTGTGTCCCCATGAATGACTTCTTAAACAAGACAAAAAGTTAAACATGGGCTGAAAGGATCTTTTCAGTGTGCATCTTAAATATTTAACCTTGTTAGAGTCTGTTAGGTTTGAAATTTTTTATAATTACCTTTAAAAAGAAACATAGGTAGTTATGTTCTCACTCTGGCTATTGATTGTTGAGTGGGGCCATTGCTGTGAGCAGGAGGAGTACTATGGACAGCAGGTGGTAGATCAGGCCCACAGTCCTTGCTCCTCAGTCAGACAAAGCCCATAACTGCTCAGGTCAGTCATTTTGGTGGGGAACACGCATGTGTGTTGGGAATTGTGTTCCTCTAGGACTTCTCTGTTCCTCAACAGTTGTTGCAAGGTCTATGCTCTTGGAATGGAGATAAAACATTAAAAAATGGGGCATATTATCACTTGCTTTACATTCCTGCCTATGAATCCATAATGCTCACATTTCTTTCCATCTCACTGGTAGTCAGAAAACTCCTGGGTGTGATAAGGCATTATCTCAAGTCTAAAACAATTTTGCTTTCTAGCTTCAGGCTCTTGTTGTCTCAGAATTTGGTTCTCATGTTGATTCGTCTTAGGTGTTGTATACTGTTTAATCTATACCTAGTAGCTTCAAGTGCATTCCTGTCTCGAGAGAATATGCAGATATTTATACCTTCCTTTCTTTCTACTGCTAGGAGTATTGTTGATGGGTAAATCCACCTAAGTGGAAGTATAATATCACTGAATTACAAGTTATAACCCACTCTTTCCTTCTGCAGAAGACTAGGAAAAGTTCACATAGCATCCTTGTTTCTTTCAGAACCCACAATACTTTATATGCACCAGAAATGCTAGTCAAAATGGCAGAGCCTTTCACTAAGGCTCTGGATATGCTTGAAGCGGAAAAATCTGTTATATTAGGTAAGAAATATGACCTTTTTTCTCCTAAGTTCACCTGATCTCTAATGGGCTCCTTGAGTAGCTTCAGTTTACCTTATGCCTCTTCCTCCTTATCTGGCACTACCTTGACCACTGATTCATTCAGAAATGCCATTGTGGAGTTTCTACAGACACTACAGGAACAAGTGTATTTACCTCATTATTCTACCATACAGAGAAAGTCTTCAGAGGCAGTTTTCTTTGTTTCCCCTATTAACCCCTCTTTCATTTTGTCTTTTTTTTTTGAGTCGAAGTCTCACTCCGTCACCCAGGCTGGAGTGCAGTGACAAGTTCACGGCCACCCCAGCTTTGACCTGCTGAGCTCCAGTGATCCTTCTGCCTCAGCCTTCCAAGTAGCCAGAACTGCAGGCGTGCGCTACCATGCCTGGCTAATTTTTTGATTTATTGTAGAGATGAGGTCTCACCATGTTACCCAGGCTGGTCTCGAACTCCTGAGCTTGGACAATCCTCTCACCTCGGCCTCCCTAAGTGCTGGGATTACAGACTTGAACCACTGTGCCAGTCCTAACCCCTCTTTCATTTTAGCTAGCAGGTTCTGATAGGTGTTAGAGCCATTCGATTATAAATAAACCATGACTTTTAATCTGAAGGATATTGGTGTATTTTCTTACCTTTCTTATATGTATATTACAGACGTTTTTAAAGGAATAGATTTTTTTCCCCCACAGGCTCAAACTCCTATGCTCAAGCAATTCTTCCACCTTAGCCTCTTAAGTAGCTGGGACTACAGGCATGCACCACCTTGCCTACCTAATTTTCTTTATTTTTTGTAGAGATGAGGCCTCACTATGTTGCCTAGGTTGATATCGAACCCCTGGGCTTAAGCAGTCCTCCTACTTGGCCTCCCAAAGTGCTGGGATTACAGGTGTGAGCCACTATGCCCAGCCTTAAAGAAATTGATTTTAAGCCATGTCTTCCAATTGTTATATTGATTAGAATGTTGCTTTAACTCATTTTTCCTGATGAAAATAACTGTGCAGTTATAATTGTGATAACTGCTATGAAGGCAAGTAGCAGGAGTCTGTGAGTGTTTATTGGGAGACCTACCCTAGTCTTGGATGGGAGTCAGTGGGTTGCTCCCCAGTGGACACTAGGAGGATGAGCAAGAAATAGCCAGGTGGGGGCAAGTGGAGATGCTGGGCATTCTGGACAGTCACAGTATCAGGTGCAAGACCTGAGGGAGGCAGGAGAGAGCTTGACATGTCCAGGACATAGAGAGGTTTGACTCATGTGCTGGAACACAGAGCAAGCTTGGGAATGTAGTTGGAAGTCAAAGCTAAAAGCATAAAAATGGTCTAAACCTTGTGTTCATCTCTGAGACTTCAGGCTAGTTCATTATCACAGCCCCCATCATGTCTCTTCCCAGCTGTAACCTCTGCCTGGGCCTGGTAGGGTCATGCAATCCAGTGAGCTTTCCTCAGCTGTGAAGTTGACCAAAGGAAGGGTGTTAATTTGCCTTTTCAGAGCTCATGGAAAAAGTGCTATAGAAAAAAGTGACCAGACAGACTAAAATGGAATCATTCTGTCTTGTAGCTTCTGACTATAAGACTTGTACTATAGGCCAGGCACGGTGACTCACACCTGTAATCCCAGCACTTTGGGAGGCCAAGCTAGGAGGATGGCTTGAGGACAGGAGTTCGAGACCAGCCTGGGCAATGTGGTGAGAGACCCCATCTCTACAAAAAATTTTATTTTTTTCTGAGTCAGAGTCTTACTCTGTCGCCCAGGTTGGAGTACAGTGGCATGCTGCTCATGGCCACTGCAGCCTCCACCTGCTGGACTCAGGCTATCCTTCTGCCTCAGCCTTCCAAGTAGATGGAACTACAGGCATGTACCACTATACCCAGCTAATTTTTTGATTTATTGTAGAGATGAGTCTCACCATATTGTCCAGGCTGGTCTCAAACCCATAGGCTCAGGCAATCCTCTCGCCTCAGCCTCCCAAAGTGCTGGGATTATAGGCATGAACCACCATGTCCAGCTTACAAAAATATTTTAAAACTAGCCAGGTGTGGTGACACACTTATAGTCCCACCTATCTGAGAGGCTAAGGCGAGAGGATTGCCTGAGCCTAGGAGTTCAAGGCAGAAGTGAGCTAGGATCATGCCATTGCACTCCAGCCCAGGTGGCATAGTGAGTGAAACCCTGTCTCAAAAAACAAAAATTTGGCCATTGCTATGTCATTGCAGCCATTGCCCTGCTAGACTCTGGTGTGGCCATATGCTCTTTGAGCTGTGGCTGTCACCATGCTTCCTAGCTTTGGCCCCCTCCCCTACCTTGGGGAGGTAAATCTCTTTCTCTCTGTCTCTAATTGACTTTTTAATAAACTACATTTTCTAATCTTAAAAAACAAATTCTTTTGAATTGTCACTGTTTGATTTGGTATAAGCCGCATCTGGCAAAACCCAGGTAAAGGAGTACTCAAGTCCAGTCTGAAGTTCTTGATAATTAAATAGCTTTCACCTCTCCCTACCAAGAAAGTGTAACAAATCACATGGCCACCTCCTTTGCATTTCTAGCACACATACCTGCATACACCTGCCTGCTGTGAAATGTTAGCTAGTTGAGGCTCCTGAGAGCGGAACCGCATGTTCCTGACCCACGTTTCTCTGTAGGATTACCTCAGCCTCTCTTGGAACTCAATGACAGTCCTATCTACAAAACAGTCTTGGAAAGAATGCAGCGTTTCTTCTCCACCCTCTATGAAAACTGGTAAGGAACCAACACTGCCTCTCACTGTTGTCTCGTAGAAATGTATCATATGGGAATGGCCACATGTTGGATTTTTGATCTAGAATTCTAGTGTACAGGAAGGTGAGGCAATAATTTGACAGCAAAGTAATGGTTCCAGTATCAGATCAAAAGGAACAGCCTGCTTTCCAGCATTTGCTCTTTTTATAATTGTCATATGAACCTCACAGTCCTAGCCATGACTTGATGTGTCATGCCTAATTTGTCTGTTTCTAGTGCATCAAATGATGAGACCCAAGAGAAGGTAAGAGTGGTGGGAATGCATTTGCTCAGACTCCTCACTGCTTGCAGCCTACATCTCATGGGTCAGTGGCAGGAAGCTGGCCAGGATTTTGTCTTTGAGTCCTGGTTGTGGGCTGGGGAAGTAACTGGACCTTACGCATACCACAGCTAAGGCTTTGGCCTCACTAACCAAGTGCTTTAGTCAACAAAGCCAATGAATCCTCCACATAAACCCATGTTACATAGTAATGAAAGCTACTGTTGATCTTGACTATCCACATCTAGTTTTAAAAAGATGCTGTATCTGCACGTTCTCTTAAGGAGTAAATGCAATTGCCTTTCCAGCTGTAGGCTAGAAATGAAATTCTTGGGGCAGTCAGGGCTGGCAGAGTAACAGATGTTGGATTTGCCATTGCCACTGATATTTTTTTCCTTACAGTTTTCATATTCTAGGGAAGGCAGGCCCTTCCATGCAGCAAGATTTCTACACTGTGGAGGACCTTGCCACCCAGCTTCTCAGCTCAGCTTTCGTCAACTTGAACAATATTCCTGACTACCGACTCAGACCCATGCTTCATATCCTTTCAGAGGTCCCTGGGTAACCCAGAAGGTCAGAAGATTGGAGACAGGAGCCAAAGGAGGCAGAGCTGCAAGGAAGAGATGGGATTTTGTATCTAAGTGCATCATAATCTCATTAAAAAATGGAAATACTGAAGTAAATTCCAGAAAAAACATGAAGGCAGTCTAGGAGGTTCTTAAAAGCTCTTTCTGCTATTATAAGTCTTTCCTTAGAGACAAGTCTTTATCTTCTCATTTCTTGGAAATATGAAAGATAAAACTTTTGTCCCTTTTCTACATCTTGTCAGGTGCTTCCTTTTAGAAGAAGCACTTTAATGCTTCATTCTCATTCAGACCCTTTTTTAAAGTTTTAGTCTTCTCTGAAGTTATAAGAATGATGAGGAAGAGTTTATTACAGGGGTTTGTCCTCCTTTCTATATTTTTTCTTCCTACTTTTAGGGCAGCATAGTGACCATAATGTGCAGCCTGGGATAAAGGACAGTTAAACTAAAAATATAATGGAACTGAGTGTTGACACAGTTTAGAATTTTAGGAAAAGAACTTGAAGATTTTTCCTTATTAACACAGGATGCTTTTGGCATCTTTCAAATCCTTTAGGGATTGATTGACTGTGCCCCAGGATGCAACCTGCCACCTGGCAGGTGAGGGGTGTGTGCTCATGTGCTAAAGTTTCTTAACCTGCTGCAGCACGGGTCTTTGTAAAGCCTCTGGTGCTCTTCTGCCCCCCGGAGCACTATGAAGCCCTGGTGTCTCCCATCCTTGGACCTCTTTTCACTTACCTCCACATGGTAAGAGATGGGTTAGAAAAGGGGGAGCAAAGGATATTTTTAGGATGGGTAGCCATTTTTAAGCCTTGTAGTGTCCCCTAGCTCTGCCTGGCTGGCTCGGCAGAGCTCCCCCCAGTGGACTGTCCATGCTGCAGTAGATTGAATAGCCCCTGAGGAACTAAACTGATTGCCACTGACCACCTTCAGATAGATTCTGCTCCTAACCTCCTGTTAGGAGAGGTTATCAGGGGAGTGGGTCCCCTAGGTATGTTTCCCTGACTCTGGAATTAAGCAAGGGGACCAGCTGAGAAGAGAACAAATGTGTCTAGAGACCCAGGAATTCTAAAAATGATGTTAATTCTTTCCAGGCAAAGAGGTAATTGATATGCTACCCTTACTCATTATGGACATAAGAGAGGTTGCAGAAGCTGTATATGTTTCTTGTTTTGGGGGGATTTTTTTGAGTCTAACTCTGTCTCCCAGACTGGAGTGTGGTGGCACGCTCACAGCTACCGCAACCTTGACCTGTTGGGCTCAAGTGTTCCTTCCACCTCAACCTTCCAAGTAGCTGGAACTAGAGGCATGCACCACCATGCCCAGATTGTATATGGTTTTTAAACTTGTGATGGCATCTTCCAAGGCTGTCATTGATACCTGAAATCATCCTTGGCTAATTTTAATCATGAAGTGATCCTCATATATTATGTGTTCCAACACTCTCCCCAATTTAGCATTTATTTCCTTTGTGTTTTCCCAGAGGCTTTCCCAGAAATGGCAAGTCATCAACCAGAGGAGCCTGCTGTGGTAAGGAATACCCCACTCTTCCTGGTGGATGAGCTGGTAGCTAGGTTTGGGGTGGGGAGAGGGAGCAGGCAGGGAGTCTGCTGTCCCAAGGCTAGAATAGCAGTGAGTTAGTCTTCTCAGCCTAGGTGATAGATGGCTTGTCTGGATAGGCTGTGACCATCAGGCAGACTCTGAAGTCAAGCCTTCAAAGGTGATGCTGTTACCCAATTACCTGTATATGCCATCCATCTGGACAGAGTCACTAATAATATGTCCTTCAGTGAGTCATTCCCAACTTTTACCTAGAACATAAACCTGAAGGAGAAGAAGGTGGGCACAGAGGGTCTGGTTAATGTCACTGCTTTCCTTGTCCTTCCCTTTTCTTGTACTCACATGCAACTTGGCCCCCTGGTTTTCTGTAGTGGAGAAGATGAGACTGTAGATGAAAACCCAGAGTCTCAAGAGATGCTGGAAGAACAGCTGGTGAGGATGCTAACCCGAGAAGTCATGGACTTAATAAGTAAGTGGCATGTGGGAACCACGAGATGTACAGAATAATTTTCCTGGGAAAAGAACTGGTCACCCACCTAACGCTATGGGGGCTAGATTGATGCAGGGATTCATGTTTGCTGCAACACTGACAGATGAGTAAGAAAGAAATAACTAGATAGAAGCTAGGTAGTCCATAAGCCTAAGGACATTTTATGAATTGTGAGTTGAATTCTACCAAGGCCAGAATATGAGGAAATGGTCTAAAATAGCAGGAAGAATTTGGATTACTTCTTGACTTTGTCAAAATAGGGAAAATTTTAAATTCTTGGACATGAAAGTTTTTATTTTTGGAAATATTGAAGGAAATGGTACTTGGTCATTTAATTTGTCTGAGATCCAAAGTAGGCCAGAGATGTATCAGACATCTCTCCCAGTCACTTACTCTCAGAGAATTCTATAATTTCCCTTTAACTAAATGACTTTCAAGAAGGATCAAACCACAATCCAGTCAAGGTCATCAGAATGCCTATATGTCTATTGGTGAAGCTGATTTTTGTGCCTTGGACGGTATTCCCACCTTCCCCCCACCCTGCCTCACCTGAAGGTTTGGAATCAGTCAGCCTGAGGTGGCTATTGTATATGTTGTCCTCCCTTCACCCAGTAACCCTGTTTTCTTGCTTTAGCGGTTTGCTGTGTTTCAAAGAAAGGTGTTGACCACAGTACTGCTCCCCCTGCAGATGGAGATGGTAAGTGAGCCTGTTGTCTACCCTTGGAGGTCTGCTCATAGGCTCCTAAATATTGTTTATTTTATAGGTCATTTCCTGTAGAAACTGTTGAGAAACCTAGAGTATAGAAACCTAGCAGTCTGGTGAGGAAGAGGCATCCTACATCTAGCTGTCGTCTGTGCTGGTCCTCTTGCTGTGTTTCTCCATCATCCTCCTACCACAGAGCCTTTGCACTTTGTTTCCTCTAGAATGATTTTCTCCCAACTTTATACATGGTTTCACTATATACATGGTCCAACTATATACACTGCTTCACTCAGATGTCACCCACTCCAAGAGATTTTGCATGACCAACTTATCAAAAATAGCAATCCCAGCTGCTCTGTTTTTCCTCTTCTTTATTTTTCTTCATAGCACTTATCACTCCCCAACATTATGTTTTCATTTATATGTTCATTTATTACCTGTCTCCCTCATTAGAATGTAAATGCTCATCAAAGACTTTGTCTTATTCCTTTTATCCCCAGTAACAGTCAGTGCCTGTTACAGAGGGGAATCAAATATCAACAACAAAATAGCCTGAGCCTTCGCAGCTTTTTAAGTTAACTGTGCAGGAGCTCCCTTGTTTCCCACATGTATGGGCATCACTAAAAGGTCTAGTAGGGGTGGAGGTGTGACTGGCCAGCAGTCAGCCTAGGATATTGAACTTCTCTGTGTCTTTTGGGCTTCTATCAGAATAGAAACCTTTTCTGTTTTGAAAGGATGGAGCTTAACATTCTGCTCTCTGCTTACAGATGAAGAGATGATGGCCACAGAGGTGACCCCTTCAGCCATGGCAGAACTTACAGACCTGGGCAAATGTCTGATGAAGCATGAGGTGGGTGGAGCAGGCAGGTGATACTTTTTCTCCTTGCCCAGCTGGGACCCAGCATCCACTTTTCTCACTCTATGATGCCATCAAGAGTTTTCTCATACTACTCCTTTATGTAAGCTCCTGGTTCCCAAAGCCTCTAGAAAAAAGCAAGGGAAAAAGCATAAGGCCATGGGTTCTCCCTTACCAGCGCGGGCAAAGGCTCTTAGAAAACACACTGGCACGGTAACGTAGATCCCTGGTGTTAAGCCTCCCTGGCTTGAGCTCTGTCCTACACATGGATCTTCTCATATTGTGTTTTTCCCCCCTCTTTTTGACTGCCTGATGTGTGAAAATAGAGGAAGTAAACTTACTTCTCTTCAGTAGTTGGTTTTATCATTTTCCTGCTTACCTATTAAAACTCCAGCTCCCAAGCCAGGCGTACATGTGGTAGTCCCAGCTACCCAGGAAGCTGAGGCAGGAGAATCACTTGAGCCCAGGAGTTCAAAACCAGCCTGAGCGGCCGGGCTCAGTGGCTCAGCCTGTAATCCCAGCACTCTGGGAGGCCAAGGCAAGTGGATTGCCTGAGCCCGTGGGTTCAAGACCAGCCCGGGCAACTTGACAAGACCTCATCTCTACAATAAATCAAAACTTAGCTGGGTGTGGTAGCGTGCGCCTGTAGTTCCGGCTACTTGGAAGGCTGAGGCGGAAAAATTGTCAGAGCCCAGAGGTTGAGGCTGCAGTGGCCGAGAGATGTGCCACTGCCCTCCAGCCTGGGTGACAGAGTGAGACTCCAACTCAAAAAAAAAAAACAAACCTGAGCAACATGGCAAGACCTGTTTATAGAAAGAAGAAAAACCACACTCCAGCTTTTGATGTATTCGTCAGAAAATTGTGCTTGTTTTCTCATTGTAATCTTTCATTCTTTCCTGTTCAGGATGTTTGTACAGCACTACTAATTACAGCCTTCAATTCTCTGGCCTGGAAGGATACTCTGTCTTGCCAGAGGACGACCACGCAGCTCTGCTGGCCTCTCCTCAAACAAGTATGGTTATTCATCCCTTTCCCCCACTCCTCATAGAAGGTTTGGGTCATGCAGATTGACCTTATCATTTAGAAGAATTGGGGTGCTGCGGTCTTCGGAGAGGCCCCCTGTGGCCCTGAGCACAGCCATCTCCCCAGGTGCTGTCGGGGACACTGCTCGCAGATGCCGTTACATGGCTTTTCACCAGTGTGCTGAAAGGTTTACAGACACATGGGCAGCACGATGGGTGCATGGCTTCCCTGGTCCACCTGGCCTTCCAGATATACGAGGCACTGGTGAGTAGGGAGAGCATGGGGGCAGGATGGCTGCAGCTTCCTCACTCACCGCCTGCTCTCAGTCTCTCAACCCTTCTCCTAGATATGAGCATCTGCCACATTGCTAGTGCTCCTGAGAGGCGGGTGTGGCAGGGAATGCGGGAGGTGACTGTGTCTTAAGCTACATGGAATAAGTTTGTCCCCACTTATCAGCGCCCCAGGTACCTGGAGATAAGAGCTGTGATGGAACAAATCCCTGAAATACAGAAGGACTCTCTGGACCAGTTTGACTGCAAGCTTTTGAACCCCTCCCTGCAGAAAGTGGCTGACAAGCGCCGGAAGGACCAATTCAAACGCCTCATTGCTGGTTGCATTGGGGTAGGTCATGCACCTTCATTCTTGCACCCAACCCCCTTTAGACCATGTGTGTGGGCAGACCATCAACAACTGTAGTTCTTGACCATTATGGTGAGATGATCTTTAACCCACTACTCAGGGCCCAGCATTAGTTCTTTTTCATTTGTTTTCCACAGAAACCCTTGGGAGAGCAGTTCCGGAAAGAAGTTCACATTAAGAATCTTCCCTCACTTTTCAAAAAAACAAAACCAATGCTGGAGACTGAAGTGCTGGACAGTGAGGGGGGCGGCCTGGCCACCATCTTTGAACCCTGAATCAAGCTTGTGGGCATCCCTCCTCGGCCTTTATTGTCATCTCTTCTTCCCTTTGTAGCTGATCTCTAGGCCCTTCTTGCACTGCCACCTCACTTTCCGCCATTGTCAGCCTGGAGCGAGATCCAGGTCTGGAGCTGGAGAGAGTGGGCCCTGTGCAGGGCCAGAAGTAATTACACTAAAGTATCAAGAAAGGGAGTTAGGGCTCACACCATTCTGTCGCCATGTCCCAGGTAGTTCCCATTCTACTTGGAGTTTTGGCTTTTCCAAGAAAAGCTAGAGCAGAGCAGCCCTTCTCCCCAGGCCCTCCCACCCCCATGCAGCCACACTTGTGCTGAACGGTAACTTGTGGTGCTGTGCCCAACACGGCAATTACCCGGGCTCACAGAAAGGGCTCAGCCCTCGACCGCTTGTGCTAGAGTTTCTCTTGGACCACTGCAAGTCCCACTGAGCCCCCTTGCTGCTGGGCTGGCAGGGATCCTTCCCCACCCCCCAGGAGCATGTCTGGTCAAATGCTAAGTGCTGAAGTGAACTGGGCCCATTCCCTCAACTTTGTTTTGGGCAAGACTGTGGTTATTTGGTGGGATCCATGGTACAGGTTACTACTAAACTCTGGGCACAGTATCAAGTGTAGTACCTCCAAGGACCAGGGCTGGGCAGTCTTTAGTGTTCTCTAACATCCCCTTAGCTCACATCTTGCCCTTCCATTAATGACCTCTCTTCATCTAGTTTCCCCAGCCTCAGGGTCCACTCAGGCACAAGAGCCACAGTACCCTATCTAGTGTCACATGACACCATTGTCATCCAAGGATAATCCAGACCAACTAGGCTGCATCTGTGACAAGCAGCTAGTAAAGCCACTGGTCTCTTTCTAAGACTAGCTGAGTCTAGGTGCCTTCCAAAATCTCATGCTCTTCAGGTCCCTGGTTACTTTTCTCAAGGGCCGTTTCCAAAAGAAAAGAAAACATGCCTTCCCATCACAACCTGTACTGTGAGTCCATTCTAGTGGTCACTGGAAAGCCCTGTAAGCAGAGGGCATGGATATGGGACCTAGACCTGAGGTTATTACTGGCCATAAGGCAGGCTTAACTCATAGAAACCACAGTGTGACCCTATGCTTTGCAGACAGGCCTTCCATCCAATCCTAACAGGAGGGTTCCAGTGAGAGAACTAGAGTGGACTGAAGCTGCAGCTTCTAGCTGATGCAGGCCACAGGCAGGGTCAGATTGACAACAGGCACAGCTGGGGAGGCAGAACTTGGAGTCTCATGTTGCTGTGTCTGCTACACAGACTGCTCCCTCTTCCCACGTGGTGCTGTGGTTTCTCTTGATTGTGAAGGCGATCTCAGAGCATTTCCCTCCAAACTTGATAGCTGCCTACTCCTATGTCTGGTTGGGGCTGTGGAGGGTATGGTTGTATTTATTGTGTTGTAATATTTTTAATATCCTGTGACTTCATGCTAGAAATTTTCTATTGTTTATAGAAACTTTTTGTAGAAACATTAACTCTAAAGCACATCAGCATGCCAGTAAAAATCTCAATTTCATACAGAAAGGGCCCATCTGCCTTTTTGAAATGAGTGATATACTCCAGGGTTACTTCCTCATGCACATCCTGCTAAGGGGACTAGACAGGAAGAACTGTGACTGATGGAACTGATTTGTCGAGCTTTCTGAAATGTTATGCCAATTAGACTGGGATTTCTATTCCTGACCCCCTAAGCTAGGTAGCCCGTACCATGCTCAGTGTCTTTCATGTGTGGCTGCTGGGCCTGACCCCAAGGGACTGTCCAAAAGCAATTTCTGCTGTTCTTTGTGGAGCTCCAATAGCAGTGTGAACTTGCCTGGTAAACCAGGATAGACGAAGTGACACATTCACTCTGACTCCTTGGATGATTTTCTAGGGTTTGGCTATACTCAGAAACCACCTCAATTTTTGGCAGTTCTCAGGCTTTTTAGAAGGGTTTGGCCCTAACCTGCAGTGACATCTGAGCCCAATGTTCTTTTGTTTGCCTGATTTTTAGAGATAGGGTCTCTAATATTGTCCAGGATGGTCTTGAACTCTAGGGCTCAAGCCATCCTCCTACCTTATCCCCCCAAGTAGGTGAGATTACAGCTGTATGCTACACGGCCCACCTTTGAGCCCCAGTGTTAACTGCTAAATGCTGAACTGGTTCTGAGGTGAAGACCCCCATTTTTAAGCCAAAACTCAAGAAGCAGTTTCGGGTGGGGGGGAATTGTTTTAACATGAGTTTATTTACATCAAAGGCCTTACAAAGGCATAAGAAGTCTCATTTTGTGGCACATTTAACAAAATGTATTGATTAAAAATAAAGCTGAAATTGTCCCAGAAGACTCAGGAGCTCTAGTCACTCTGGGCTCTCTCCAGCAGTCTTGTAGGGCAGGTCGGAACCTAAAAGCTTGGGCTTGCCTTGGGAGCACCTGAGTCCAGCTATCCCAGTAACTTAGCACAAACTTCAGTCCATCTGAACTGCATCCAGTTCATCCAGGAACCGCCGACACTTCCCCATCAGGACTTTGATGGCTTCACTCACCAGCACGTCTGGTGGCAACACCCCTGTTGACTCAACAGAGACTGGGGACCAAAGAGACACTTTACCCAAGTGCTTGCCTTTAAAAAGCGCCTGTTACAGGTTATTCCTAAAATCCAATTCTAGACTCTGAAAGGAAGCTACAGCACTTAAGAGCATTGTCCACCCACCTTGCCACTTCATACTCACATATATAATGATCTCGAACCCGTGCAAGTCGTACAACCTTCTTTAGCTTTTCATTCCGGAAGATTTCCCTGCTGAATGTATCTAGCCGGGGGTTGGCAACTCTGGCTACCTTTTTACCTAATGAGAACAAACTGTGACACTTTGTCCTTTTAGGGGCCCAGGGTTTTTATTTCTCTGGTACCTTCAGAGAAAATACACTAAGTCTTGCCCTGAACAGCATCCCAAATGCCATACCTTGGACTTCCTGCACCTCAATAACTCCAGGTGAGAAGCACCGCCTCAACTCCTCAGCTGCCTCCCCTTCCACAGGTTCAAGCAGGGTGATATCTGGCAGGAGCCTGTAACTAGCTGTCGCCACTGGTGAAAACTTAGCATGATCTTTGCCTGGAGGGAGGAAAAAATCTGCCTGTAGGAAACCCTTTTTGTTCTTCCTAAGCCACTGACAGCAAAGCAGAATCCTGATAGCGTTCTGCCTATCAGGAACAGCTCAGTTCCTCAGTTACAGCTTGCCCCCTGCCATTGGACTATCCCCCCATCCCAGGTAGGCCCATAGGGTTCTCACCAATGCCCTTGACACAATGCATGAGCAAGTCAATCTCCTGGCCAGGCCGCAGCTGGGCAATGAGGATATCATCGTGCACTGGTCGGATTATGCCCTCCGGGAAGAGGTCAGCCTGGTTCCCCAGGGGGACCCATGTCATATGCCTGGTGTACACTAGAGGAAAAACACATCAGAAGACCTCAGTCCCTAAAGCTAGCACCCACCAGCAGATAGGCCCTCTTCCTCTCCTCACCTTTGTGGTTCACATAGAGTTCATTGGGGTCAGAAGAATCTTTGGCAGCATGGGGGTTCCGAGTGCACCTGACTTGTAGACGAAACTGCAGAGTATCTATCTCTGTGCCTTCTTCATCTCCTGCACACATGGAGGGAGTTCATAAAGAACTAGTGAATATTGAGTGCCCGGCACAATGCTGAATGCCTTACATTCATTTCTCATTTAATCCCCTTGGCAAACTTGGGGAGGCGAGGGCAAGTGTTCTCACAAATAAAAACAATGTTGTATTAAAAGAGTAACTTGCCCAAGGTCACAGTCAATCCAGGATTTAAACTTAGACAGTCAACTTATCCTAAAACCTTTCTCAGACCTTCACCTTGATTCCGGTATTCAAAAAGACGGGGATCAGCATGAATGGGAATGAGCCCAAGGCGGTGAGCAAGGATCTCATCCTGGACAATGGATGTATTGTTGTACACCAGGACCTTTTCCACAGCCATAGTTGGCACCTGTCCAAGGAAACAAAATCACCCATCTGCAAAAAACCAGTAGACTCCCCACCTGCCCCCCACATCCAGAGATACGGAGATATCTTGATTCCACAAGTGAGGTGATAGTACAGTGCCCCACAGAACTCCAGCCTTGCCATCATGCCTGCCAATACCTCAGCTAATAGAATTCGTCGAAAAGCATTGGCGATGGCTGCATCAATTCCCACCATGTCAAACTCCAATGAGTTTTCATCCATGTGTACCACATCCACACGGAAATTCTAGAGGGATAGAAAAATATTAAGTGAAGCCTGCTTTCTGTAATTATCTCTACACCTTCCCCCTGGATATTTCCCTCATCATCTCATCTAAAAACCTCCCTTTGCCCAGATGACCCTCATTAAATATTCTCTCTCTCCGAATGCTAATCTTTAGCTTCTTTTAAAAAATCTCCATTTCTGTCTTCCATTCATTAAAACCCTATGCAATATAGCTCCCAACCAAAGCATCCACAGAAGCTATTCTACGAAAGTACAGAAACTTCCAAACTTTTTGGTCCAGTTGACACTACTCAATCCTTATCTTAGACTTCTCTGTTACACTTGGCATTATTTTTTTAAAAAACTCCTTTTTCAAACTATTCCCTTTGTCTCTGAGCACAAGTCTTGTTCCCCTCTTTCTCACCCACACCTAAATGCATCATTTGCCAGGTTCTTGTCTCTTTCCCAGTTGACCTCAACCACTCATGGTTTTAGCAACTACCTAAAATGACAACTCCTAAAATTGTGTCTCACTCCTGATCTCACTTCGGAGTCTTCTAACCTGCTAGATTTCTCTGAATGCAAGAAACTGAATGCCAAGACTCGTTTCTTCTTATCAGTATATGACACCACCATCCATCAAAGTAGTTCCCCAAGCCAGAAGGCCTTTCTACACTTCCCCCTCACAGTCCTTACAACAGCAATCACAAATGTACCCTCTATCCTCCCTTTGCTCTACTTCCGCCATCACAGTCTTGGTTCGCAGCCTTCAATCTCAGCACCCTTTATAATCTAACAAACCTGCCTGCCTCATATGATTCTCCTCAAATTCATTCTTTCTCAACCATCAAGGTTGCAAATCTGATCCTGTCTGCTTAAAAACTCTTCAAAAGGACCGGGCATGGTGACTCACACCCGTAATCCAGCACTTTGGGAGGCCGAGGCAAGTGGATTGCCTGAGCCCGCAGGTTCAAGACCCACCCAGGCAACTTGGCAAGACCTCGTCTCTACAACAAATCAAAAATAAGCTGAGCAGAGTAGCGTGCACCTGTTGTTCTAGCTACTTGGAAGGCTGAGGGAAAAGGATCACCGAAGCCCAGCAGGTCGACGCTAGGGTGGTCGTGAGGGTGCCACTGCCCTCCAGCCTGGGTGACAGAGTGAGACTCCGACTCACACAAAAACTTCAAAAGTTCCTCATCACCTACAGTGCCCCGGAAACACTTCAATCCTGCCTGCCACACGTGCTGACCCACTTAACACTACTAGCAATGAGCTGTTTGGACATTCTCGTAGCACACTTCACACAAGCCTTTACCATTTAACTCCTGTTCTTAGTCCCTCCTCACCCCTCACTGCTCTCAACTTTTACTCACGTTAAAGGCTCAGTTCAGATGTCATCTCCTCGTGAAATCTTCGTACCTTTCTGCCAATCCGCCCCATACCCGCTGTCCTTATCGCTATCAACCACCTTTATCACATTATGCTGGTTTATGCGCGCTAATCCTCCACAAGACTAAACTCTTGTTCGCAGAAAGGGGCAGAAACCATGTCGAATGTGGCCTGTACACGGAGCTCAACACTGCTCAAGTATCTTTTCACGAACGGGGCGGGACGACCCCAAGGGCAGCTCCTCAGGCACAGGCTGCTCAGGTCACACGGCCCAGCCAGTATACCAGCTCCAGACACCTCCAGCCCCACACACCTTCTCGAAGCGGTCCTGGTCCCAGGCATCATCATAACCGGAATAGTTGCCGGGAAAATCAGTGGTATGAACCTAGAGCAGAAACACGAGTTTGTCCTCGAAGGGACGGCGAGCCCAAGGACGTCCCCACTCCGATACCAACCCATCCCTGCTTCGCCTCATCTTTTCTCCTTCCGGAACAAAGCTTACATTGCGAACCCCGAATTCCCCTAGAACCACGCGGCTCCGCATTTCTTCAACCGCCTGCGCCGCCGCCATCTTCAACCTTTCCGCGAGACTAGGGCCTCACACAGGCCGTGCGCTCCAGCACCTCTCCTTCGTCTCCTGGCAACGCACCGCTTCCTGGAGTCTTAAATATCGCGAGACCTTGCCCCGCCTCCGTCCACGTCCCCAGCTCCCGGAAGTCAGTTTGGGCCAAACATCCGGGTGTCTCCCTTATGTGCTCCGGCTGATCCCACCTTTCCTTCTCCACCTGGACGTCTCCCTCGCCAAGGCCCGCAGCTCGCCCTCTTCTCCTCCACGCGGGGCTAGCGCGGACTCCAGCGACGGGAGCCCTCGAGGGACATGGCAACTGCAGCGGCGCCGGCCGGAGGCGCCCGAAACGGGGCCGGCCCGGAATGGGGAGGATTCGAAGAAAACATTCAGGTAAGGGCCCCAGGGCACCGGCTGCCAGGAGCTCCAGAACTGGCGGCCTTCTGAAGTGTCTTGGAATTCTCCCTCGAGGCCTGGAGGTCTGCTCCATTTGCAGCGCTCGTTCTCGCTTTGGGGTCTTCGTGCGCGCCAAAGTCCGTGAGATGAGCGCTGACCTAAAAGGGCCAGCCTAGCACTCCATCCCGAGAGTCTTGGTCTCTGGGCCCTCCCGGGACGTTAGGAGGAACGTGCCCTTGCTTTTGGAGCAAGTCAGGAGGTTGCTTGAGGACAGGCGTGGCGTGGGAGTGGGCGGGATTCGCGGGCACTCGCTAAAAACATACTGACTGTATGTATAGTTTGGTGTTTGGGAAAGACAAAGGAAATGGGCTCCTTTTCAGCCTTTTGAGGCTTTGATGGGGAAGGTTGGAGAAAGACAGGACTGGAAGATTAGTAGTAGGTTTCCCAAGCTAGAAGAGAAAGCCAACGCTAGCAACCAAGTGTTCTGAGAGCAAATGAGGTGGAACACAGCGGCGCGATTTGTAGTGATTCCAAGCCATATCCTCAGCAGTGGAGGAGCAAAGCCCCAAAGCCCTCGGATGAGCAGAGGAAGACTTAAGCGGATGGAACAGAAAGGTCCTGCACTCTAGGAGCCATTTCCTTCACAGGGCGGGGGTTCTGCTGTGATTGACATGGAGAACATGGATGATACTTCAGGCTCCAGCTTTGAGGATATGGGCGAGCTGCATCAGCGCCTGCGTGAGGAAGAAGTAGATGCTGATGCAGCTGCTGCTGAAGAAGAGGATGGGGAGTTCCTGGGCATGAAGGGCTTTAAGGGACAGCTGAGTCGACAGGTGGCTGATCAGGTAAGCAAGATGGAATTCCCAGTAGGTGGAAAAGCATACCTAGGCATGGCCCATGTTCTGGAGTTGGTGTTGGTGATGTTCGCCCCAGGAAGTCCAGTTGGAACCATGTAGAAGTCCATCAGAAAGCAGGTAACAGGGTCTAGAGCCAACAGTCCCATAATTCCCACCCCATCTTCCTTACTTCAGATGTGGCAGGCAGGGAAGAGACAAGCCTCCCGGGCCTTCAGCTTGTACGCCAACATCGACATTCTGAGACCCTACTTTGATGTGGAGCCTGCCCAAGTGCGAAGCAGGTGAGGATCCTTCTCTTGAAGAAGCTTCCCTCCTAACACCTAGTCTTTCATCCAAACTACAACCAGATTTTAAGCCCTGGACTCTGCTGGGCTCCCTCTCTTCATGACTCCACCACCCCCATCACTGCACCTGTCACTGAACACAAATGGTGATAACACATTGCCTTCCTCCTCTCCCCATCTTGCAGACTACTCATCTTCCTTCAAATCCTAGCTCAAACGTCACTTCCTTTGTTCCATATTCTCCACCCCATGCCATTTGTTCCCGCCAGATGCTCCTGTAGAGTTCTGCACTTGCCGCTAATAGATGGCACCTCAGCACTGCGGTACTTCCTATTCCTGGAATTGTCCCCCAGAGAGCAACAGCTCTTCAAAAGCAGGCTCTATCTTGATCATCTTCTTATTCCAAGCATCAGACCAGTCTATGAACCAGAATATCAGGACATAGTTGTTGAGTGACTTTTCAAGGACTGGATTTAATCCTGGCTTGGTTTTTTTTGGTTCATCCTTTAATCAATGCTTATCAAATACCCAGGACCACTCAGCAAGTGTTAGTTAAGCATTTACTCTATACCAGACCCTGTAGTAATTGTATCTGGTTCATTGGTAAAGATGGAAGGGACCCTTGCCCTCAAGTGCAGTTACTCAGCACTCATGATATGATGGGGTATGCAGGGGGGACATCTGAGCCAGAGTTGGCTGGTGGGTGGGACAGGATAGGTTTCCCAGAGGAAGTAAAATCCAGGATATTATTTGGGGCTAGCCACTTAAAAGAGTGGGGGAGTAATGAATTTGCATAGTACTTCAAAGACATATTTCAAGAGATGCTCAGTGGTACCTGGAAGAACTGTTAAGAAGGAAGAGGCAGGAACCCTAGTTACTAGTTCCCTTGATAACACCTCCTTCTAAACCTTTCCCAGGGCTTAACTATCACAGCCCTGAGTTCTATCTACTCTGCTGAGGCATGCCTGTTTTTAAAGGGAAGCAAGTCAAATAGTTTTTTGTTGTTGTTGTTTTTTGAGTTGGAGCCTCACTCTGTCGCCCAGACTGGAGTGCGGTGGCCTCTCCCAGCCACCGCAGCCTCGACCTGCGGGGCTCCGGCGATCCTTCCGCCTCAGTCTTCCAAGTAGCTGGAATTACAGGCACGCACTACCATGCCCGGCTGATTTTTTGATTTATTGTAGAGATGAGGTCTCGCCAAGTTGCCCAGGCGGGTCTCGAACCCACGGGCTCAGGCAGTCCACTCACCTCAGCCTCCCAAAGGCACGAGATTACAGGATGAGCCGCCAAGCCCGGCTTCAAACCACATAGTTAAATGGTCAGGTACATTTGGAGTACTCCATACAGCTGCTGCTTCAGTCAGCTCAGTGTCAGAGCGCTGTTCTTCCTAGAAGTAATGTTAAGGACAAGGAAGTGATTTCCTCATTCCCTGTTTTTATTACCTTTTGTCCCCTGTCATCCAGCATGTCCTGTGGCCTAGACCCCATTCCCTGGAGTTAGATGAGTAAGATTCAGGTCTTCCCCTCCAGAACCTCACAGCCTCGTGCTGCCTCTGCTCTCATTTCTCCTCTCCTCTCTCAGGCTTCTGGAGTCCATGATCCCTATCAAGATGGTCAACTTTCCCCAGGTGAATGGGGTGTGACATGTCTAGAGAGCTGGGGGAGGCATCAGGGCAGAGGGTGGGGCCACCAGGAAAGCCTGGGAAGGCATAAACAGAAGAGCCCTTGTACCCTCCAGCCTGAATGAGTTGGTATATTGACAGAAAATCGCAGGCGAACTCTACGGCCCTCTCATGCTGGTCTTCACACTGGTCGCCATCCTCTTGCACGGGATGAAGACATCTGACACCATTATCGTAAGCAGGACACAGGACTTGTGTGAGGGTTGGTGGCTGAGCTAGGTTGATAGGTTGAAAGGACACAATGGTGGAGTGAGATAGGAGCAGCCCCTGTGAAAGACCCTGGGAGAGGCTGAGATCAGAGGCCGCCCAGAACTAAGTAGAACCTTCACCCCACAGCGGGAGGGCACCCTGATGGGCACAGCCATTGGCACCTGCTTTGGCTACTGGCTGGGCGTCTCGTCCTTCATTTACTTCCTCGCCTACCTGTGCAACGCCCAGATCACCATGCTCCAGATGTTGGCACTGCTGGTAAGGAGCCAGATACGGTGGTAGGCAAGGGTGACCTTAAAAGAGTAGCCCAGCCTTGGTCTGCATCTGTCCTGGGGCCCCAGAGCCTGGAGTGGGGGGGAGCAGAAAAATGGATCATCTCTTTCCCAGGGTCCCGTGAGGGGCCAGAGACCAGCCCAGCCTGCGTGATTTACCTTTCCACCATCCTCCTCCCCAGGGCTATGGCCTCTTTGGGCACTGCATTGTCCTGTTCATCACCTATAACATCCACCTCCATGCCCTCTTCTACCTCTTCTGGCTGCTGGTGGGTGGGCTGTCCACCCTGCGCATGGTAAGCTGGGCAAGAGGCTTCCGGGGTGGGCTGTCCTCCCATAAAGTTGGAGAAGAGAGCCCGGAGCTGTCTACCCCATAAAGGGCTCTGAATGGGAGGGAAGAGCCCAAAGATGGTTCTGCCCTGGGTGGAACTGTCTTCACCCTACTCCTCACTTTGGAACCAAGCCCTCTGAGCTGTATTCGCATGGCCCTAAGGTGGCAGTGTTGGTGTCTCGGACTGTGGGCCCCACACAGCGGCTGCTCCTCTGTGGCACCCTGGCTGCCCTGCACATGCTCTTCCTGCTCTATCTGCATTTTGCTTACCACAAGGTGGTAGAAGGTAAGTGGCAAGGAGGGGGCGGACAGCTGCCTAGGCAGGGGGCTGAATGAGATGACCTGTGGGTTAGGCCCAGCCAGCGCTCACCTTCCGCCTTCCTTCTTACAGGGATCCTGGACACACTGGAGGGCCCCAACATCCCACCCATACAGAGAGTCCCCAGAGACATCCCTGCTGTAGTTCCTGCTGCTAGGCTGCCCGCCACCGTGCTCAATGCCACAGCCAAGGCTGTTGCGGTAACCCTGCAGTCACACTGACCCAACCTGAAACTTCTTGGCCATTTCTCTCTCCCCCAGCTGCGGAGCAGAGGAAGAGTAAAGGACAGTGCTGATGATATGTGTCTCTTTCATGGGTTCTGCGACTGCCACTGTGCTGTAACTGCTTAAAACCTCCTTGACACCTGTCAGAGCCCCTGAAGGGCGCAAGGCCAGGAACTTCTGGCCAGGACTGCAAGGCTCTGCAGCCAATGCAAAAAGTGGGTCAGCTCCTCTGAGGCCCCCTCACCGCCTACCCCCTTCTGCCTCTTTCTCCCACATTGTCTTGCTAAATATAGACTTGGTAATTAAAATGTTGATCGAAGTCTGGAACTGCAGCTCCTGATCCAGTGGTCCTCCCTGTCACCCTACTTTCCTGTTCTTCTGCCAATGGTGGTAATGTCACGTTTCTTTTTTATACCCCCACCCAGGCAGGATGAAGGTGGGACAGATCAGACTACATACAAGGCAGTGATTGAATGTGGAACCTGCCCCTGGAGGCAGGGGACACTTGACTCACGGAGGGACAGGGAGTCTTCAGGACAAAAGCTATAAGCCTGATCGAACAGTGCCAGACTTGCATTTTTGGGAAGGCAGTGAGCAATGACAATTGGACAAAAACTTCTGTAGTTATACCCCCCATTACATGAGGACCTTCCACAAATGGGCCACTGTGCGGATGATTTTCCTATGGAGGTCACACTTAAAGCCAAACTTAGCTTTGCCCTGGTTGTTGGGGCCAGCTCCCTTCAGGAGTTTTTATTTTTATTTATTATTCTTGAGACAGGGTCTTGCTTTGTCACCCAGGCTGGAGTGCAGTGGTTTGATCACAGCTCACTGCAGCTTCAAACTCATAGGCTCAAGCAGTCCTCCCACCTCTGGGAAAGCTGGCACTGTAGGTTTGCGCCACCACACCCAGCTTAATTTTTTAAAAATTTTTTGTAGAAGCAGGTTTTTGCTATTTTGCCCAGGCTGGTCTCAAACTCCTGGACTTTAAGCAATCTTCCCACCTTAGCCTCCCCAAGAACTGAGATTACAGGCGTGAGCCACTGCACCCAGCCTTATTCAGGAGTTTTTCTCTGTCCTTCGTCTTCAGGCGTGCTGTTTACTCTTTGTCCCCTGGACTGGAGTGCAGTGGTGAGATCATAGCTCACTGCACCTCAAACTGCTGGGCTCAAGCAACCATCCCACCTCAGCCCCCTCAGTACCTGGGACTACGGGCGCATGTTGCCAAGATTGGTCTCGAACCCCTGGCCTCAAGTGAACCTCCTCCTGCCTTGGCATACTGCAGCACTGAGATTACAGGTGTGTGTATACACGCACACACATGCTCTTTAATCTGCTCCACTTAAATTAATTCAGGTGGTTAGGAGGCACTAGGGCCTTTGACCACCCCCACCTTCAGTCAATACTACTTTTTTGTAATCCTCATTATCCTAGCAAATGTGGGTCAGCAGCAACTATTCTTAATAAAGAGACTGAAAGACACGTGCCCTTCATTTGCCCTGTGTCGCACAGCGGGGCCCTCGCCAGTGGCCTGCGCTGCTCAGTGTGCACAGCAGCCTTGGCCGGGCCCTCGCCCCCGCTCCAGCCGGCGGGTCCCGGCACCCCCTTTGTCCTGGCTCTGCCAGGCTCGCCGGCACTGAGACCGCCTCAAGGTTCCAACGGTGTCCTGCGCACCTGAGGAAGAGGCAGCACCGAGACCCTGCATCTTCCCGAGGCTCGCTCGTCCCTGGCTGCTCCACCCTGCCGGGCCGGCTCTCCGCTGCCGGGGGCCCCGGGGTGGCCCTCGTGAGGCCGCCATCTTGGCGGGGAGCGGGTGGGGACGCCCTCGCGGCCGGAATCCCCACGCACGCTGCGCCTCGCGTCACGGGGAGGGGCGTGGGGAGGCGCCGATTAAAGGGCCCGGGGGACTTCGGCGCCGGCGAGGGCCGCGCCCGGGA